TGATATTACAGCCTTTGGGGTTGGCGGTAATTCCTGGCAGGGCACTATTCATAAAGACTACGGTATTTGCATGTATGAAAGTTTCAAATAGTTCTCGCACTCTCATTGGTCGATAGGAGAGTTTGGATAAGATCATGGTCGTGCATCACGTCCTGTCGCTTCATTTGACAAATCGGTCTTTTTGAGAAATATGAAAGCAATTCAGGACTCTTTCCGTGTTTTCATGGCCTCTTCCGAATACCTGGGGATTGAGAAGATTCTCGAAAGTTATGCAAACCCTCAGCGGCGTTTCGAGATTTTATAACTTTCTCTAACTCTCCCAACCCGTCTCGTGCTTAGAGGACGCTATGCAGACTCGGAAAAAGTCGGAAATGAACGATTAAAAGCAATATCTTTCATTTATTGTTTTAGCATAATTCCAGGCAATGGTGGCATCCGGTCGTCGAATCTCGAAATTAATTTAGCGACCTAAAAGCCTTCAAAACTGCTGTGTAAAACAGTTTTTAATGAATAATAAGGCACAAAAAACTGAGAAACGACATGTCAAACCCTAAACAAACCAGCTGTATAACTTAGACTAGCCACAACGACACAGTCATTGGTCAAGGCTTATATTTAAATTGATAACATTATTTTGTGCTTACCCAACTAAGTTATATCGTAAAAACGAGTGAAGATGTCTGAGCGTGGCCAGTAGGACGTCACGATGTTTATTGAGACATTGCTTTGAGAATTGTGTTGGACTTAAGAAAATTGACGTACGGTGAATTTGCGTCCAGATGAATACAATTTACAATGCAAGCATTTGTCATCACAAGACATTGCAAGTCAAAACCGAACTCTAAAATGAGACAGGTGGATATTACTGTTTGTAAACCCTTGTAAAATTTCAATTTATTTTGCCTTCACCAGGAAGACGGACCAGCTGAACGTTTTAACCTCAAAAGTGATTGTCGGGCCTCAATAACATCAAAATATTCAAAAGTTGTATAGGGGATTCTTCATTACGACAGTGCAGTTATCAATGACTAACAAGCAAGCTTTAAGGTAAGGAACGACAGAAATTATCGATTTTCTAGCTAGCGGCATATAAAATGATGATCGTGCGTAGCTCTGCGCAAAAAGAATGATCGAATGAAAGAGTCGCGTGAAAGGTGGAGTTGCGCCTCTTTTTTAGATATTGATTAGCTCTCAAATTCAATCCTTATAGGACTCGTTAGATTTTGTTCTGTTTTTTTTCTTTTTCTTTTGGTTTCTCTTTTTCACTTCAACTCACTATTTACAGCTCAACTGTCAATCGCTAGCAGCTAAACGGGAACAACAGCTGTTTTTCCTCTGTCCTTTCATCATTTCGCTGAGTGATTTCTAAAATAGAGTGGAATTTTCCGAAGATATAATGAATTTTCGCAACTTTAATGAGGGTCTTAAAAAACGGTTTAACCGGCTTCAGCCGTACAACGGCAAAAAATTAGCCGTGAGGCATAAAAAAACTGACAAATGTGAACCTTTGGTCATAAAAGGAGTTAACCGCAGCAAATTTTCTTTTAGTGTACTAA